AAGCATTTATTAAGTAATATCTAGTATGTAGGGTAATGCAGGGCAAAATGTGACAGCGGGGCAATATCGAGACAGTTCGCGTTTAACATAATGCCAGCCCTACAAATTATTATTTGCAAGATTTTTAAAAGTGCAGTTGTGTTCATAAACTATTTTTTGTCGAGAAAAATATATTGAGTTACTTTGAAATAAAAAAGTTGAGTAAAAGGGGAGTTATTTCATCCCTCGGCTTCGCGAAAATTACGAATTTTTAAGAGTTGTTATTATATTTTTTCCTAGTCTTTTTTGATCTCACTGAGTGGAAAAGCTTTTTATATTTAAAGTTTTTTTTTAATTAGAATCTTTGGGCCTTTTTCTTTCATTTCCATTCTTTTGTATTTTATTTCTTCAGTAAAATAGTCTGGAAATTAGGCTTTTCGATGCCAACATGATGCGGGGCAAAACGAGACATTCTGTTTGTATTTTTTTTGCCGATATCTAGTATTATGTTTATTTATTTTTTTACATTAAAACAACAACCAAAGCAAATATTAATATTTACATGCTGTAGATTTAAGTTTATTATACTGTATTTACTTACTTTTTATTTTGTTAATTGAAATGTTTAGTTGTTATTCAATATAGAATTACGTTTTATATTTTGTTAACTTATATTTAAATATAATAAATATTTAATCAAATTGAAGTAAATAATTGTCTGATGTTTATAATTACTATGTTTGTATTTTATAATCTTATTGTATTGTAATGCAATAAAGTAAGTAGTATATATTATATATAGTGAGTAGATTATAACATAGGTTATTGCAGTACCTATAAACAAAATACAATGAATGTTATGCGTGTTTTAAATACATAAGTTTAATATATGCATGTATGGTTTTATTAGTTCTTGTAGTGGATATATATATATATATATATATATATATATATATATATATATATATATATATATATATATATATATATATATATATATATATATATATATATATATATATATATATATATATATATATATATATATAAGTGAAGTCAATTTCCAAAATGCACAACCTGGGATCATTCGGACTGTTGTTTGTTTCAAAATACTGGTTAAGCAATATGTGATTTATGTGATTAGTGACAGTTTGATTATAGCTGTAATATATTATAAAATGTATTTCTTACTGATTCTTTTAAAGATATGTTTTTTTTAACTTTATTTATTTAAATTACTAAAAAAAAAAAATCTGTCTCATTTTGCCCCGGTATGCTGGGCAAAATGAGACAAGAAAGGTGCTGTCAATAAATGATCTCTGGTGACCAAACTACTGCAGTTTTGCAACTCATACTTTTTAGGCTTCAAGTAGGATCGTAGAAGAATTGAAAAATATCAATTTATTTTTTCAAAAGCTGTTAGACGGGCCGTATTAGATATATTAGCGCTTAAGTGTCTCATTTCGCCTCACGTTACACTAATATAATGCCAAGTCATAGCAGATGTGCAGTTGGTGTCTGTAATAAAGACAAAAGATACCCTAACAAAATAATAAAACATAGCTGCTATGTTTTATTATTTTGTCAGGGTATCTTTAATCTTTAGTCTATTTTGGCTAGTTTTTAGTTAATTTAGCAATTTTTAAAATTTAGTATTTAATCAGGTCATATTATACATTTTATTTGGTAATTAAGTCCAATTGTATATAATAATATTTGGAGGGAAATTATCTCCGGGGGAAATTTATTTTGCAGATAGGGAAAAAAATTATTACTACGATGAAAATATTACTTCAAAATATATCTTTTCCCCGGAAAGTATATTTCAGCAAGATGGGCAAAGCTATTACGGAAAGATTTATTTCGTGATACCGGAACAACCACCAGAACCAAACAAAAAAGTCAACCTAAACATCAAAAATATGTTGCTTTTGGTTTGGCCGGACCTGCGGGGCATTATGTAGTAAGATTTGTTTTTTCTAAACACCGTTCAGCCGCAACCTACTGTGCTCAGCTTCAAGCAGAACCTTAAAAAAAAAAGCTCAGAGCTTAACAAAATTTACTTTCTTCATAATCAATATCTTAAAAATTATTAGAGCTTGGTTAAGAAGAATTTTCTAATTCTTTCTACTCACCTAACTAAGCGCCTTATTATTTGTTCCGATCACTAAGCAACAGTTTGCATTCAACCATTTAATCTACGACTTTATAAAGTCGTAGATTAAATGGTTTTTTGTATTTAATGCAACAGGATTTAAAAATTGCAATACAAAATTTAATTAAAAATTAATGATTTAAATGACATTTATTTTTTAAATTTGCATAAAATGTCAAATGGATATACTATGCTAAACTATATATAGTTTAGTATAGTATATCCATTTGACATTTTATTTCCAAAAGAAATGAAAGTGTTTTAAAACAAAGTAGCTAGCATCATAGCTTCTACTGAAGAGGCCTAAATTGGTTTTTGTTACGTTTGCTGTTTTTTCTATTAGATATCTTAAAATATTTAATAAATATGTTTGATATGTGTTGCATCTTTAATTGTGGCTTGCGCCCTTTTCACAAAAACCGATTCATATAGAACCACGGTTTGTTTTACATCATAAAACTTTAACAAAAAAGAAACAAACGAACAAAAAAACAAAAAAACAAAATAAAAAAAAGAAAAAGAAAAGGGGTTTGTTCAAACCGTCATAGATAGACTTTTAGTAAGGGTTCTTTCTAACCAAAAATTAATTTTTTGTCTCTTTATTAATAACAGCATTGATGGGTTTTTAGTAATTCCAATAATAAGAAAAAAGGACTTTTTGCACCTACCCATTTGATGTATCCGTATCAGTTTTACTTTTTAAAGTTTCTCTTTTTCGTAACATAAATAATTTTGAAAAAATATTGCTAATTGTATGATATTTACAAATCATAAATAGTTAATGTTGATCTAACTAAAGTTTACGACACTTACATATTAGAAAATTTTAAACTGCATAATTACATATATGTTATTAAGTAAAACATTTACACTTAATTGATAATTGAAAATAATTTAAGAAACAGACTAATAACAAACAAAAAATTTTTAACTAATTGATTTCATTTTAAAATAGGGATGGCAAGGGTAGGTTTATAAGTAAAGTAGTGCACTTGGCTTGTATGGTAGGCCCAAATTCATTTAAAGACTTAAAATTTTAGGTACTGGATCTCTAAGTGAAAGCTAATAATACTTTAATCAAAAAAGCATAGTTCTTTTCAAAAAAAATTATATTTATTGGATCATATTTAGGATTTTGGCGTCTTTTAACAATTTTTGATAAGCCTATAAACAATTAAAAGTATATATAGAAAAGCGTAAACCCACTAAACCTGACAATGAGGAAGACTAGCTTAACGCAAATGAGGTACTTTTTCATTTGTGAAAAACCTAAATGGAATTGTTTTAATTACTTTTTTTTTCAAATAAAACTGTTTCTTTACATCGATTTAAAATTCTTAAAGTACCGGGCTATCATTTTGTCTAAAAAAAATCAATGCTTTAAAAAGTAGAAACATGCAATTTTTGCATTTTTAAAATCTATTATTTGCCGTTTCAATACAGTATATTTTTGTTTATTAAATAGAAAACGTAGAATTGTGTTTTTTTTTTAGCTTTACAAAACTGTTGCAAATTATTAAGAAGGGTTGGGGGGGGGGATCATGTATAAAAAAGTTACATACATAAAAAAGAACATTAATAGTTAGTGTGGCTGCCTGTCACACAAGTAAGGATTGGGTGTGGAATAAAACGTTTTTTTATTTCAGAATGTACTTTTTGAATGATACATTATGGAAATATAAAATTATTAGCAATTTATGGTATTATAAAAACTCTAAAGAAAAAGACATAAAATTAAAACAAAACAAAAAAAAAACATATAACAATACAAACCATTTCATAATATTTCTATGTTACTATAATACATCTTTACCCAAACAGGAAATAATATTTGGATAAAGATCTAATAGCGTATTTATTATCCAATAAAACCCGAAATTTAGTTTAATTATAATTGCAATTGTAATGCTTAAAGTTACAAAATCAAAGAGTGTTTTTTGCGCACTTTAAAATATTCCAATAAAATATTGAAAACTTCATTTTATAGACTTTTTTTGAATTAATATTCAAATAAAAGAACTGAGCATTATAAATTACTAAAAGTTTAAAATTCTAATTCTTTCATTTTCATATTTGATGCTTTTTCAGTTAACTTTTTTTTTAATGATAAATTTTTAAAGTTTTTGAAGCCTGATCTTTATTGCTTTTATATATATATATACATATATATATATATATATATATATATATATATATATATATATATATATATATATATATATATATATATATATATATATATATATATATATATATATATATATATATATATATATATATATATATATATATATACATATATATATATATATATATATATATATATATATATATATATATATATATATATATATATATATATATATATATATATATATATATGTATATATATATATATATATATATATATATATATATATATATATATATATATATATATATATATATACATATATATATATATATATATATATATATATATATATATATATATACATATATATATATATATATATATATATATATATATATATATATATATATATATATATATATATATATATATATATATATATATATATATATATATATATATATATATATATATATATATATATATATATGTATATATATATATATATATATATATATATATACATATATATATATATATATATATATATATATATATATATATATATATATATATATATATATATATATATATATATATATATATATATATATATATATATATATATATATAGAGAGAGAGAGAGAGAGAGAGAGAGAGAGAGAGATTTCATTTCAACTTTAAAAATCTCTATGCATGATAAATTGTCATAAGTATTCATTGTCTTTTCAGCCAATAAAAATGAATGTTGTTTTGCTTATACTGTATGTCTATGTAAAAAGTTGTTCGCCAACCTTTCATTGCAATGCCGATTGGTGTGATCCGAGTCATGAACCATACCCAAATATAGTATCAACAATGACGGGTTACAACATTCTTAAAGGAAATCCGTTTACTACCACTCAAACTAGTGATCCAGGATTTTCTTCAGGTTACATATTTGTGCCAACTTATAGAACCGAAGATGGCACTTATGCCTTACACGATGGAGTTACTGTTCGTCAAGTAACAATTTATTTTTCTTCTTAAAACTTATATTAAAACTTATATTAAAAATATATATTCAATTTTTTCAACATGCATAATTCGCATTAAATTAGAATTTAATTTTCAAGTAGTTAATTTTCATGGCTACACACATCTCTTAACTTCACGACATTTAATCATCATTAATAGGAAAACTGACCTTTCAGATGCAAAAGTGGTTTTATATATTTCAACCTGTTTCATATGCTGATCTGAAAATTTAAAAAACAATGAAATGCTCAAGAAATACTTTTTTTTTCCTTTGTTGACTTTTTTTATTTCTTATTTTTTAATAAATTTTATACAAGTTAAGGCAATTTTCTAAAGAAAAATTGATGCTAACTGCACATTGATAATCATTCACAACGACAACAACATCAACAACAACAATAACAACAACAAAAGTAACAAAAACGACAACAACAACAATAACAACAACATCAGCATTAACACCACCAGCAACGAAAACAACAACAACAACAGTAACAACAGCATAAACAACAACAATAATAAAAATAGCAACAGCAACAATGAAAACAATAACAACAACTGCAAAAAAAACATCAACAGTATCAGATATGAAAATAATTACCACAACGACAACAACGTGTACAACCACAACAACAATAATTAGAAAAGTAAGTATTACAACAGCAACAAAAAAAACAGCAACAACAAGAGTAATAACAAAAGTAATAATAACAACAATAATAATAACAATTATAACAATAATGACATCACTATATGTATAAAAGAATAAGTTGATGTTTTTTGTTTTTTTTTTTGTCACTATTATGAGAAAACAACAAATTTTAAAAGGTAATAGCGTTACGAGTAAACATCTTGTGTGTAGTTATTTAGTTCTGTATGTGTCGCGTCTTTATAAAGCTCAACACGATTTTGAAAAAGTTGGAATATAAACAAATACGGAAGGTTGAGCAAGTATCTAACATAGGACTACAAACGCTGCCTAATTTTCTTTTTTTAGATAATTAAATTTACAAAAAAAGTAACGTGTTAAAAAAAAAGGAAAGTGTTTTTTTGACCTCCCATCCCCCTTGTTAACAATTGTTAACAAAGTTTAAACTACCCTCCATTTTATTTTGTTTACGTAATTAATAAGAGGTTGTGAAATTTTTATAAAATTTTCCAACTTTTATTATCATAGCATTTTAAACACATTCTGCGTAAAAAAATAATATTAGAAAAGTATAATTTTTTTTATGAAGTATGTCATCCGGGTAACTGAATTTTGATAACATTTGAAAATTTGTGTTATCTTTATTATATACTGAACATTTTTAGGAGGTCAGAATAGACATTTTTAAAAAATATTGTTAAAGAGCCATAGGCACTTTAGAAAGATGTGTCACCTCTAATCTTAATTTATATGTTTTAATTGTTTACATTGAACGTATTTTTTCTTATTATTATTAATCGGTTTTATTGATTACCATTTCAAGTAATAACTATTTAGATTTGATTTTTTTTAGACTTTACAGTGCAGCCTGACATCGAGTACCGATGTAATTACAACTCTTAATAGTTACGTAAATAAAATACAAAAGAAATCTTCATATGGGAGAACATTCACATCTAATCTTGAATACGAGGTTAAATTAGAAGCAAAAATGGGCGACGTAGGTGCAGAAGTTAGCACAACAATTCCTCCTCTGATTGAATCTTCGTTTTCATCTAGCAATGAATACAGAGATAATAAAGATTTCTTCACAAAAAAAAAAGGTAAAATTTTTAGATCTGCAAAAAAAATTTAAAAAACTTCAAAACTAATAAATTTATTTGTGAATGAGGTTAGGAAGGAAAGGTGTACCGAATTTCGGGGGCCCGTTTGCAAATTAAAAAAATTTTTTTTTTGTTATTGTTTATTGTTTATTTATGTTAAGTAATAAATTAAGTATTTAAAAATACTAAATAAAAAGTATAATTTATAAAATGTAATAATTACGAAACAGGTGATCCTGACGAAGAAAAAAATCTTAAATCATCAGTAACATTATGTAAAAAAAAAACGTGTATTATTATAATAAATTGAGGAATGAATCTTGATTGACAATAAATTCAATTACCTACTTTCATAAGGGGTGGTTTTGGCGCATAAGATTATGGAGCCATCTTTATAGGGAATAAATGAACGAAAGCAATGTCGATGTCAATTGATACCAGAATGTTTTTACCTTTCTTCTTAATTAAATAACAAACAATGGATAATTTTTTAGATAGAAAATAATTGTACAAAATAATTAATAGATCATTGTTTATCTACACTTTACACGATTTACGGATAACAATAAATAAATTTAAACAGCACCCTTTTCTTGCCTAAAAACTAAAGTGAAAGGCAAAAAGACGTTTTGTACTCAAAGCTTTCTTGGATTCTACAAGTATTTCGCCTCTAACTACCTCTTTAAATATAAAAGGCTCAGCTCACCCTTCTATCACTTCATTTATTTAAAAAAAGTATCCTTTAAATATTAGAGAATTCAGTTTAGAACAGAAAAATTGATGCAATTATTTAAAATTAAATGCAGTTTCGGAACGAAAATTGCCAGAAAAGTTGTGACTGTTAAAACGAATTTTGTTTAACCTGGCGTTAACGTTGCTTGTTAGTTATCAAAATATGGGGAACTAATTTGTCTTGCTGCAGTTTTGTTTAAAAAAGACTTCATATATCTTTTATTTTGAAATGTTGGTTTCAAGAATATTACTTTTAAATTTTTGGTTTCAAATAAATGTTGATATGTCCTTTCGTTGTTATTATTTATAAAAGACTTCCATGAAGCAAAGGAAAAAATATTATGACTTCAAAAATGATATTCTCAAAGTAAAAAAGACTAAATTTCTATGTCTTGCCAAACTAAACATATTTAAGTACACCTTGCTGTTAAAAAAATGTAGAATAAAAATTTCTAAAATAAAGGAAACAAACTTTCAAATCATATTGGTGCTATGTTTTATTTTTACGAGTAAAATTTTCATTACTATCTCAGCTATCCCTTTACAAAAATGCCTTCTTTTTTGCTTAATGCATCTTTATATTGTTAAAGGAAACCGAATCTATGATACTAACTTAATCAGATCACAAAACGTTTACCACAATAAGTAATATTATTTGAGAAATAGAGGATAAAATTTATGCTGTTCCTAAAAAAACATAATTAATAGCATAATATGTATTTCCAAAAAGAAAATTAATTGCTACAAAATATACTAAAAAAATTGTTATACTAAAATTATTATATAAATAATAACAAGGAGTGTGTTGATTTTCTATCTTTATAATCTATTTACAATATTTAGTAACATATAAATAATATAGATATAGAAATATTGCTGAAGAAAAGACAATTTCCATATGCTTAAATACAATTATGTATCAAATAACATAATACTTTTCCTGTTTGTTTATTTTTGTAATGACAAAAATCAAGAGTATGGAAATTAAAAAGTGCAGACTGAACCTTAAATTGTGTACAGACTATATCTTTGACTACATCTATATCTTTAAACTGTGTACAATCTATATGCATATCAGTTTGAGGATGTACATTGTTGAAAATGAGATGATATAAAATAATAGCATGAGTTTCTTGACGATTTAGATTGTTAACAATATCCTGTGTTGTTTTATATTATTTTTATTTTTATCTATCGGAAGTTATTGGTTCCTAATTCTGTTTAAATCCAACTTACCACTTTTTGCATTAACTTTTATGAATACTTACTGTATTACTGAAACGGTGGATTAACTTAAGTTAATGCGTTGAACTGTTGTCTCCATAAAAAATGTATCCGTTCGTCCGATTTATGGAAATTAAGAAGATTGGACTAAAACAAAGTATTATTCCATATTACTTTATTTAATTTCTATCTCCTTTTTTTTGTATTAACGTTGTTGTAACATAAATATAAAGAACAAAACCACTTTATAGTGTTAATATCTTTGTAATACTAGTTGTTTCAACAAAAAATATCCAATATTCATTTATTAAAGTCGTTTACAAAAACTAAAATAACGAAAAACTGCTTATAATTAGTTAAACAAAAACGCCATTTTGTTCATTTATCCCCTATTAAAAAGTCATATACTAAACCGGCACTCTGTGAAAGTCCCTAACTATGTAATGTTTAGTTTTTTGAGCTGTATTGATTTCTCCAAGTTTAAGACTCAAATTTATAAAATAGTATCGAACTTAGGACTCCATAGCATTGGACCACGATAGGAAACGGGAAATCTTGTAATTCTTAGTTTTCAAAAATATTTTTTGTTAAAAATCTTGATATTTAACAAAAAATATTTTTGAAAACCTTGGGAGTTTTTTATAATTGATGTTGAAATATAAATTGCATAATTTTGGAAACATTTATTTGATAAATATTAAGAGTACTTATGCTTCTAAAAATAAGTTTATTATAAATGAAGCAATTTTGAAAATAAATAATTTGTGCTGCAAATTGTTTGGAGTTGTTGCAGTTGTTAATAAAAAATTTTTGAGTTTAGATTTGTTTGTAATACTCCACATAATATTACTATAGCCAGGCCCGCACCATGAAAAAATTTAAGGGTTCACTGGAAAATTAAGGCAATTTAGAATAGCAAACAAATATCTTGCTCAGTTTTCATAATATAACTTGCATAAAACAAACAGCATTTGGTAAAAAAGGGGGTCTGGATTATACAGTTATATCGGTGTTACTCTGGACAAAAAATTTAAGACTTAGACATCAAATTAGTAAAAATTAAAAAAAAAAACATTTTCAAGTATAAAACTATTGAAGCAAATATTTATCTATATTTTAAAGTTTACCCAGTGGGATCGCGTTGTCCAGAGGTTGTTTGTAAGACGTCTCCTAGACGTCCAGACATCCGTAAGACGTCTGCCGGACTTCCAATGAACGACGCATACCCACTTGGTATATCCTAAACATTCTACAAGACATAATATGAAATAGAATAATAATACAATCATTGATATGTTTTTATAATATTATTGGAAGCCTTCGCTGCAATTGTCTATTTCATTCCAACAATTTTATCAGGAAACATGCACGGTAAAATAGTAAATTTTTCTGCAGTTTTAACACAAGAATTTATCATATAACAATTTTTTATTTTTATCAACATATGAATTGAACGCTTTAATTTGAAGCAGTACATTTTTAGTTAACCTAAGTACACATATTATTTTTCGAATTTTAAGCACTGTGTTTAGTGTTCTCTCATTTTCTATGCATCCTTTTTTGATTTTTAAAAATTTTATGACTTATTATACTTAAAAGTAGTACTTGAAAGTCTTTATTATGATCTTTGCTTATTTTAAGCACTTTAAATACTTTTGTATTCACTTTTGTAAACTTTTTCTTGTAAAGAAAAAAAATAGCAAAAAGTTTGCTTGTTAACACGATGAACAAATAACATTCCTTTACCATTATACAACTTATTTAGTAGTTGTTTCATCAAATACAAATGCTTCTTTCATTACTCGATTCTGACGTCCCTATTATTTTAGGAGGATAAACACTAATTCGTTGCATTTTATCAAGTTTTTTAACAAGTTTAAGAACTCCAGGGGCAGATCTAGTGGGTGTTCTGCCCAGGATACCTTCTATTCACCCATAGTATTTTAGTAATTTATAATTAAATCTTCTTGGTAACTTAAAAAAAAAAATTTTAACTTATAGTATACAAGTATATATATTTCAAGACATATATAAGAAAAATATATACGACTTCGATGTTATGAGGGATTTAAGCGAACCAATCAAAAATTAGTTCTTCTTTGCAAAGCTCAAAAAATCAAGCGTTTTTAAAATGGTTTTATTTTGTTTACCGCAAATATAGCCAATCCCCATTGTTTTAGGATTTATTTGACTCTCGGTTGGTACTCTCGGTTCCGTTTATACATAAAAAAGAAATCCTCAATTATTTCAATAAAGCCTTAATTTTTCGCAAAAAGCCTTGTTCATTTGAATAAAACATTAACTATTTAAATATTGCGAAGTTTATCGATAAACTTCTCAATATTTAAAAAACTTAAAGCTTTATTCAAATAATTAAGCCTTTTTGCAAATAATTAAGACTTTTGATATACCAAATGTAGTTAAAAAAAGTTAAATTTAGTGCATAAGTAGTTTTAAAAAAATAAAGTTTATTTTCATCTAAAACTAAGAAATCATTGGTATTAAAAGGTAATAAAGCCAAGCCATGTATATATGTACATACACACATTGACTCACACACACACACACACACACACACACACACACACACACACACACACACACACACACACACACACACACATATTTTGTGCAATTCATTGAATATAAATCAAGGACAACAGGTCTTAGTCTTACAAAAAATATGTTCTCTTTATTTCATAATATTTGTCTTTATATCCAAAAATGTAGTGGTCTTAGTTATGTCGGTGAAGAAATAATGCACTGATAATAAAAAGTTGTATTATCTAAAATTATATTTATAAATTCAAAAGGTTTTTTCGCTGTGCGTGCCATAAACTTGAAATAGTTGTAGATAAATCATGCGATTTTTAAAGTGTTAGAAATGTGCAAGTTATCATAAATAAATTCTTTTTTTCTGATCAAAAAAAATTAATTAGTACATGTCAATATAGATGGGTTCAGAAACATAGAGATTTAGAGGTTTAGATGTTTTTCACTCAATTAAAGAAATCGTATTCAATGAAGGCAAGCATTTTAATATTAATACATATTGCAAAGCCTTTTATTTTAAATCTTATGACAAGTTTTTCTTTTATTGTAAATTTAGTTTTTATTAAAACAAATAATGGACTATAGTCCATAGTCTATAGTCATAGAAATAAATTTATATGCCATCTAATAAGTTATTCTCTACTAAGTTGGGTATATCACAACAATGTAATGAAATTAAGTGAACATAAATTTAAAATCTAAAAAATCTTGATCATAACAATTGTTACTCAATTGCTCTTGATTAAACTAAAATTTTTGATGTTTCAGATTTAAACTTTGCACAAGTAAAAAGGTGGGGGGGGGGGGGAGTATTTTGAGAAGTCGGGACGCGGATTCATGCAATCTCGCTAATGGAGAAAAAGAGTCTACTTATAATTTGTTGACTTTATATATAAGTATATAAGACTTTATACTCCATTTGATATAAATTATTCGTTTAATCGATTAGATTCAAATAATTTTTACAAACAAATTTTTACAGTTTAAAAAACGTAATATCAATTTCTTATGATTTTATTTCTCTTTTTTCATTAAATAAGATCTTAAAGAACATTAGGTATCAACAGTGTCATCATTTAAACTAGTTCATAACTTAGTAATAAATAAACCTGCAGCACTAAAACTTCTTTCTGCTTCTACAGAAGATGGTGGAAGGCTATGCATGGCGTTGTAAGCCTTGTTTGAACTTTTTTCTGTGCTTTCGAGTACTTCTTTTTCGTTTAATACAAGTCAAAATGTTCTAGTATCCAAAAAAGGCCTAAGTTCTTTTCCTCAATTACAAATGTTTTAAAAGGTATCATTTTTAGGTTTCCTGATTTACAAATGTTTTAAAAGGTATCATTTTTAGGTAGTGATTTTCTAAACAGCTTGACAATTTTACGAACCTTTCATATAATAACACCATAGTTCTCATTAAATTGCATTTCCTTATCAACAAAGCTGATACTTTCCTTGTTCAAGTATACTTCATTTTCATTCTCAACATTGCATCATCAAGGTCGGAACAAGATTCTTCATTTTCATTTAGCTCTTCCATAATTAGTTTTTCTCCAGTTGTTCCTATTGCTGGACCTTTTTTCTTATAAAAAAATCACATATCGCTAGATGAATTCCATGACAATAGCAAATTTGGAGGGTAACTCTCATTTCTTGTCCCATTTTTTTCATGACTGATGCACCATCAGTAACACACCCTAAGATATTATTAATCAGTTTTAGGTCAAAATCATTTAATAATGTTAACTGCTTTTTCTGAAAGCATTAAACCGTTTATTCTAATCACTTCAAGACCATAATAAAGTTTGTCTGAACAATGTACATTAAGATACAAATACCTTCTATTTCTACCCGAGGTCCACTCATCAAGAGAAATCGAAAGCATTTCTCCGGTTATATTTTTGTTCGTTGAAGCTCTTGAGGAATTTTTAGTTTTATTGAGCTTGCGTAGTTCATAACTGTTGCCTTTATAGCATGTCGATTATCGGGAATTTTATTTGGTTGAGCTTTTCAGCCATTTTTAATACCTTTTCTATTGGCCTAAGAAATGGACCAAAAAAAAAACAAGAAAATACGAACTGCAGTTTGTAAACTAGCTAATACTTCCTCAGCTTTGTTACCTGTTTTATTACAGTAGGCAGCAACACTTGGCTGAGTGTTTTTTGTCTTTACTTAAACAATTTTCGGAAAAATCTTATGCTTGTGCTCTAAATGATATAAGAAACTTGAAGTCGATGAATTTAATTTTGACTGAACAATGTTCGCATTTGTATAATAGTTTCGCTTTGTTTTCCAATGAAAAACGCGTCCACTGAAAAATATAAATAAAAAATAAAAAGTGAAAACAGTTATTATTGTTTCTTAAAAAAATGCTATTTTGTCATTGTAACAACAAAGTTTAAAATGTGATTAAGTCCGCGTTTTGAAATTTTAGTAATTTTAATAATTTTTTAAAGAATAAAAAATGGCTTTCTTCATATTTATTTATTATGACAATTTCATTTATCAACATTATTCGCAAGATCTCATGCGGAGCTTTTCTGTGCAACCAAATAGTTTTAAAAAGTTTTGATTTTTCCCAAGTAGGAATTTTTCTACTTTCAAAAATAAATTGAAAAAAGTTATTTTCTCAGTTTCCATGTTATATTATGTACAACGAGATTTTACTATAAAATGTTGTTAAAAGAACGAAAAAAAAATTATGGTTACATTGGTTTTTGAACGGCTCATATGTTGGTTTATACTACTAAGCGTAGCCAACAACTAGTTAATTTGCTATATAAATTAAATGTTACGGTATAAACTGACTTTCAGTTTATACCGTAACATTTAGTTTATACAGTTAATTATTTTAGTTATATATTTCTTTATTATTATAATCATATTTACCTACTAATATGCATTTTTTAAAACTTTATATTGCTATATGAACGCAAAAATGTTATACTTTGAAAATTAAATTTTATCGATGAATATAAAATTGATTAAGAATAGTAGAAAAACTATTTTATCAACTTGTTGCTCTAAATTTTGGGGCAGCAAGGGCAAGAATTTTGGTGCTTTTTTGGTATAAACATAATATATATGTAAATATTTGAATATAAAAATAAATATTTGAATAAAAAAATAAAAATTGAGTATGCTCCATGTTTGGAAGTTAGCCAAAGTTATATATTTTGGCGTTAAAATAATTATGTAATGAAATAAGAAAATAAATAATAATAAAAGGAACTTTAAAAACATTAATTTTTTTTTTAAAAAACTTTAATATATAAGAGATTTTTATTTGTTCACTTGTTAGGTGTGTTAGCATTACGTGACGCAACTTGTGCTACCTATACCGTCCGTATAAGCCCTTACAAACCTCCACCATTTAGTGAAGGATTTAAAATAGCTCTACAAAGTTTAAATGATTCAATTGGAAAAAGTACTGAAGAAATAAAGGAAAGTTTTAATGACTTTATTCGTGAATTCGGCACACATTTCCTTCAGCAAGTAAAGAAAATTTTTTTATTTTGAATATTTCATTTTTAATACAGTTCATTCTGATAAGCTTTTACGTTGTATTAAAAAACTTTTATTTATATCTATTTACAATTAAGACAACAATGGGTGCTAGAACAGCTATAACAAGGAGATATTCTGGAGAGGAGTTTAGACAAAGTAGAGACGACTCAATACAAAAGTGCAACGAAGATCGTTTAAAAGTTACAATTGCAGGAGTTGGTGTTGGTAGTACGTCAGAGAGTTGCAATAGTATTGACTTAACAACAAACAGTAATACCGTAGCTGGATTTGAACGAGAATCAATTACTTCGTACGGTTCTAAGCCTGCAAAAAATCTTGAAGAATGGGCGCAACAAAAGTTTGAATCTCCATTGCCAATTAAAATGAAACTTAGCCCAATTCTTAATTTGTTTTCTAAAAGGTACATGAAATTAACTCCTGAAATTAGATACAAAGCTATCTTATCATGGTTTGAGCCTTTATATAAAAGTTATTGTGAGACTAATAAAGCAAGCCTAGGTATTGAAGAATGCAGTACAAAAGAAAAGAACAAATGCGGCTATGATGACAACTGCATTCCCCGACAACAAGTTTGCAACAGTGATGGCAATAGTTACACCTGCTGTACATTAAAGTGTGATGCACAGCCTTGTAAAAATGGTGGAGTATGTCATGATATTACCGATAACTCATGCACCTTTCGGTGCGATTGTGCAGATGGTTGGGAAGGAAGCACCTGCGAATCAAAAGTTGCTGATTTTGAAAAAATCTCTTCAGAAATCGAAGCGCAGATGCAAAAATTTCAGTCTTTGAATAATGATAATTTTCGTAAAGAGTTGTACAGTTACTTGGAAAGAAATTACAATACTTACAAGTTTGTTGTTAACTCATATAATGAGATCGATGGTGACGACACCGAAGCACATTCAGTTGTAGGCAACTATGTTCACTTTTATAAAAAATATGGAAGAAATCTTGTTGTCGCATGGGCAAAAACTGGATTTCCAAATCATGAAGATATTCCTGAATTAACTGCTTCTCTCTATCATTCTGTTTATAATTATGTAAGTGTTTTTAAATATATAAATTTTTATTTAATCAGTTATTTTGTTAATGGAAGTAATCATTTAAATGGTTACATAATGAAGCTTATTTTGAAAACATTTTATATTCGAAGAAAATTTTTTTTTTTTTTTTTGACTTAATCAAAACTTACAGTTAAACATTTTATATACTCTGGTTTGACTACTACGTCACTAACAGAGAAAACCTATTTACTATTAGTAGAGATTCTATTAACTTGTATAAAGTTTTATACAAGTTAATAGAATCTCTACTAATAGTAAATAGGTTTTCTCTACTATTTGCTATTAGTAGAGATTCTATTAACTTATATACAAGTTAATAGAGATTCTATTAACTTGTATATAAGTTCAGAATTACCAATACGTTTTTATTCCTATCAAGACAAGCAATCTCCAAAATGGGATAATTCTTTGATGGGATAATTTCAGTGAAAACAAACGCCTTTTCCACATGGTTCCACATAAGTTCCGTGTGAGATACATGTGAATCAACATGTAACCCAAATAGGACAAGTGTTTTTTTTTTTACTGGGTTAACTGAATTTGCGTTAAGTTTAAAATTTTTACAATGTTTTTATTCGTTTGTTTGTTTTTGTATGCTGTAGTTCATTTTATAACGTTTTTCAAGCTTTTTTTTTAAATGGTTCTTTTAAGTTTGTAATGATATTTCTCTTATTTTTCAATAAAATTTTTATTTTTTATAACAATATTAAAATGTTCTGCAAATCTTAAAAAGTCTTATAACAAGTTTTAGCAGAAAAATTGTTTTTAATTTTTTATTTCATAATTTCTTTACATACAAATAAGAATGCTTTTCGGGGCTTATAGAAATTTTCCTTTTTGGAAAAATACTTAATGAAATTGATAATAATATAATATTTTCGTTTATTTCATTACTTATACCTTTGTTTTACTCTTTTACTTACTTATTTTAACTTTCTTTTAGTTTCTTTTTTTTTCTTTTCTGTCGAAGGTTTGTTATTTTAAACGAGGCCTCGTATAAAATAACAAACCTTTGACAACCTTCGCCGGGGTTTCTAATTAATCTGATGTTTGTCCTTAAATTTTGTTACACGAATTATATTATGTGCACTTATCACAATTTTTTATCACAATTTTTAATTTTTTAATTTAAAATTTTTAGAGTTGGAATCTATCAAAAACACCTCAAATTTTTTTACACTATTAATCAACGATATTTCTTATAACAAACTCTCTTGAAAAAATTATACAATTATAACAAAAATTGGATTTTTAACAGTTTTTAAACACAAGCTTTTCATGCGGCATTTGCTATGAATTTTCATAATTGTCATAGTTACTAATAGTTTAATGTTGTAGACTAAAAAGAAGGTTAACTAAAATTAGTTAATCAACTTTTTAGTCTAACTAAAATTAGCTACAAAAGCAGCTATGGTTTAGTGTATTTAAGGACAGATCTGTACAATACGCAGTTTTTAAAGGTGACTAAAAAACGAAAAATAAAGTTTCTGTTTTACCAGGTTCCAAAATAATATTCCTAATTTTTCATAGAATTTGCGCAGGTTCGTTGAAAAATTAGAAATATTGTGTGTAGGGATATTTGATTTGATTATGATCAAATTAGCTCCTCCTAAAGTATATTATGATACTAAAAATTTAGGTAAAATTGAAATCTTTGAATATTTGAGGTTGCACGAAATGTTGTTTAAAAGAGTTGAAAAGTATGGCAAGTATAGACTTATTCCTCAACGAGGAATAAGTCTACGTTTGCCATACTTTTCAACTCTTGTGCGTCTTCTTTAATTAATAGGGGTGTGGTGGAGGCAGGGGTGGTAATAAAAAGAATAAATTAGGAACTTTAGTACCGATCTAATAATTGGGGATGGAATGAAGAGAAAATACTTTAGTAACAGATCTAGAATAAAGGCGAAATTTTTTACAGCTCACGCGTATAACAATTTAAATTTTAAGTGTAGCTACGGTCAATTGCGGCCGTGGCACAGTGGTTAGAGCTCTTGCTCTAGAAGCAAGTGCGACCGTAGCGCAGGTTAGAAGACATGCTTTAGAAACAAAATATCGTAGGTTCGAAGTGAGCTCTGGGCATATTTCACGGCATTAGTAAGAAAGGAGGCGTGAACTTCTTAATTAAATACTCTTTTGCGGTGCTCTTTGACAAGACCGTAAGCTCTTCTTGGGACACCTTAAAATGAAAACTAAAGAGTCAAAAAATTATTTGTTAAAAGAATATCTAAACTTTCATGATTTTTTATACTATTTATGTAAGTATTTTGGTTATAAATCAAGTTTCAATAGTTTATTCGAAAGCTTAGAAAAGTTTTTAAAGTTTGTCTCACTTATTGCAAATCAAAAGTAGTGTTTTAGTTTTATTTTTTAATGAAAAAACAGCATTTTTTGTTAAAAATTAAGAAATGCAAGCATAGAACATTACATAAAAATGTTATGAAAAGTTAATGAAACTTTTTTTTCTGGTTGTCTTTTTTAATACTATTCAAAATATTTTTTTCAAACAGCAACACTTTTTATATAATAAATATAATTAAAGTGTTACAAAAAATATTGCAGTTGTGTAAAAATAAAAACTTAAGTTATAAAAATTTCGCAAAAACCGTCCTTAACTACATCGAGTGGTTACAGTTCTCGCTTAGAACGAAATGGTTATGAGTTTTGACCAGACTATTTGGTTAAAAAAGAGGTATGAACTTCCCCGTTAAATTATCTTGGACGGTGCTGTGTGAAAATGCAGTCAGGGGCTGTCCATAAGAGAAGTCACAATTTTTTTTTGGCAGTTTTTGACTCCCTTTTACCTTTTGCAACCGTTTGTTCTTTTTTCTTTTACCCCTTTAAAATGATGTTATAAAGTTGGAACCTCCTCCTTTTTTAAAAATAATAAAATCCACTTTTAATTTAAGCATGTTTATTGGATGTTATAATTTTATGAGTGAATAATATTTTTCTGTCTTTGAATGTTAACCAAGTGCTGATTGGAAGCATCCAAGTTTGACTTAGTTAGTTTAATCTTGTAGACTTTTCTGACAATAGCAATTCTTTTTCGGTTGTTGATAGAAGACTTTTAGTATAAAAAAATTCAAAGAAATTGATACTTTTAAATTTTTAAATTAGTAGGCCATATTACCATATTAGCATAGACCACATTAGTCTGATTTTAAAAGTGCCTGTTGCATATTCCGCTAAGTGACTGCGCTTCTCCTGCCGAAAAAGGTCTTAATAGCTTAAACTAGAAGCATTAAAAACTTTTTCTGCAAGAGAATTTTTTATGTAAGTTGAGTCAAGTACTTTTATTGACTTTTATTACTTGACATAATGATATGCAGAGATCAAGGTTATAGTTATGCTCTCAGAATGTCTGGAATACATTAAGGTGTTTAAGCCATTCTGAAAATAACAAATAAAGAAACTATTTTTAATGGATATGTGCACAAGTTGCTTAACTTTGTGGTGAAAACTCTTTTGCTGAAAATGCTTCGTAAATACAATTTTTTGGAACTCTGTAAAGAATGTATTTTTTTTTTGCTGCTTCTACCCGCCAATGGAATATTTTATCTAAACACAATGTCGTTCAAAAAGCTTATAGAAGACGCTGGAATGCACATCATCTTGCTGTTAAACTAGTGAAAGATTAGTTTGATGAATGTGTGACAGCGATTGATTGAACAAGTTGCTTAACTTTGTGGTGAAAACTTTTTTGCTGAAAATGCTTCATGAATACAATTTTTTAAATTAACTCTTGAGAAAATGATTACCTATTGGTAACCATTTTCTTAAGACATAATCTTTTAATCTAAAGACCCTACTGAGTGAAATCAAATTACTCAAGAACAGCAGCCCAAAAGTAAAGGTTGCAGAGAGATGTAAAACCATTCTTTACAGAGCTCCAAAAAATTGTATTCCAATACATTCTTTACAGAGTTTCAAAAAATTGTATTCATGAAGCATTTTCAGCACAAAGTTAAGCAACTTGTACACATATCCATTAAAAATAGTTTCTTTATTTGTTATTTTCAGAATGCCTTAAACACCTTAATGTATTCCAGACTCTGGTTATTCTGAGAGCATAACCATAACCATGATTTCTGCACATCATTATGTCAAGTCCATCACTTAATATATTTTTAAAATGTTAGAACTGAGTAATCAACTTTTTTGTTAATTAAATTGAAAAATACTAGAAATACTCTTCTCGCTTCAACTTTCTTATCTCAGACGGCTGGTCAGTGTGTGATATGCTGTCAAACATAATTTCAAAACACTTAGCTTCCATTGTTTTGTTGACAAAACTCAAGAGATTTATATATTCATTCTGAGTTTCTGTAGAAAGATAAGATACGAATGCTTTTGCTGTAACTTTTAGCACATAGTCATACTTAGAAAGCATTTAAATTATCTCAAGAAAGTTTCAAAAAAGTTTATTTTCCTAGTTGCCACGTAATGCCCGATATTGTTTAATAAGAAATAATGTGAAATCTAGCAACCTGTGCAAGATATCCCTCCATTTTTTTCTCTTGTTTTTCATCACAGCAATACATTTAGCATCAATTATTTTACGTAGCTTATGTCCTGCTGCCAACATTTTTCAAGGCTACATAGATGATTATCCGATATCTCACAATTACATAACTTTGGGTTCAGCTTCTGCCATTTCTGAAACTCAATGACAAATTTGGATATTTTTTTATTGAATAAACATCAAAGAGTCTGCTGCAAAAGCAGTACTTTCGAGTGTTTAATGCAAGGGAAGAAAAAAACAATAAAAGTAAAGGGGTTGGGAATTTTAGTCCAGATCTAATTAAAAATATTGCAATTTCATGCAATTTTATATTAAAATCGAAATTATTAATTGTTCCCTAGCGTATTATAAAACGTGCCACATAAAGTCATTATTTCTAAAACAAACGTTAATCGCTCCTTAGCGGCTTAAGGAGATGATAATCAACACTTGAAAATTATTGCAGTAAAACATTATATAAATTTCTTTTTAAAAAATAAACATAAAATGTAAGTAGTTTTATGATAAACAGACCCAAAATAAGGAAATCGAAAAACATTATGGCTAATCAGAAAATCCACAAACACTGAAGTGTCTTCAATTTTTGTGAAAGAAATCCGAAAAGCAACAAAATCAAAACCTGAAAAATGTTGGCTTAGGTCAAACGTAAAACAAAATTAACACAAACATTAGCAGTTCTGTTAAGTTTGCATTTTTTTTTGGTGTTACCACGGTTGGACTAGCTCTTCGTGGCGGCCCGGGGGATAATACTTCTAGAGGCCCTCTATAAAATCTAATACTAATACCGTATTCAATGTACGACATATTATAACATAAATTATTTTTTATGTAAATATGTAATTTATATTTCTATGATACCCACTATCTTAATTTACAAATAATTTTTCCTCCATATATTTTTATTGTACCTAAGTAGCAGCAACTGCAATTTATGTTAGTGGCCCATTGTAAGTAAGACATCAGCAGCCCACCGGGGCTTCCCCGGCATCCCGGTTGACAAGTCCAACCCTAGGTGTTACCCCTCTGATTCAGGTCGCGTTGATTTCTCCCGGTGCGGCCCACCCTCCGCACCTTCCTAGTGATGCCATTGGTAGAATGATTGATTAGAATTGGTAGAATGGTAAATACTATTTTGTATTTTTAAACAGATTGTCATTATTAAGATATTTAGGTCTAAGTCAAATTAATTTCATAGCACATTATTAAACTAAATTTTTTAATAGTAATTTTGAAAAGCTTTTGTTCTAAATACTCCATTACATATTAGCTAACTATTAAATATAACTATAGGTTTTTCTCAAAAAAAGTTGTTTTAAGGGCCACCCTATATATATATATATATATATATATATATATATATATATATATATATATATATATATATATATATATATATATATATATATATATATATATATATATATATATATATATATATATATATATATATATATATATAATACATACTATAGGATTCGAATGCAAAAAAAAGCGTGTTGAAAGCATGGAATGACCATTACGCTAAATATAAAGATCAAAATCCAATAGTTTTCATGCAAGTCGTTCGACACGGCAATGGTCTACGTTCCAATCATGATACCAATTTTGGTGTCTACTTTGACTATAAAGTATCATACTGGAATCGAGAAGATGTGTCAAGCTTTATTGCTTTGTACGGAAAAATGTAACTTAATTTTGTATTGAAACCATTGTAAGTTAAAAAATTGATTTTAATAAAAACATTTAATATTGTATACTTATAGTTTGTTTTTTTTGTACTTTTTCAATTATTATGCCCTATAGTATGTTGTATACGACATACTATAAACACTTTGTTTATACGATATACTAGCTTAAACTAGAAGCATTAAGACCTTTTTCTGCAGGAAAAGTTTTTATGTAAGTTGAGTCAAGTACTTTTATTGATTTTTATTACTTGAAATAATGATAAGATCAAAGTTATGGTTATGCTGTAGGTTATGGTTATATATATATATATATATATATATATATATATATATATATATATATATATATATATATATATATATATATATATATATATATATATATATATATATATAAATTACTATCTGTCGTATAAATTACTACAGATAGTAATTTTTCTTTTATACCATTATAGTTTGTCGTATATTATGGTTAAAAAATAAAACTCAAAAATTGAAGACTTTAAATTCCGAATTTATCTGGCAATAAGAACCTTTTGAGTTTAAATTTACGAAGAAATTAAAAGCAAAACGGTAAAATAAACGGTAACCGTGAAAATTAAGTCTCTAATAGATTATTGGATTCAAAATCTTGAAATTTAATTATTTCAAAAGGAATTTGGACCTCTGTAGAAAACACAAAACTTTCCAATAGTATTTCAATAATGGTATGTGATTTTAGCCAACAAATGATCAAAAAATAATAATAATTCTTGGTTTTTGATATTAGCCAACTCAAGTTTAAAACTTGTCAACTCAAACACCAAATGGCCCAATTGCTAACTCAAATGCACATAAAACAACTTATGGAGCAGCTCTGATGACAACAAAAAAAAATGTAGGACATTTGATAATCAGTGTAATATAAAAAACAATAATAAAACTTGATGGAATGAAATTTTGCTTTTTTTACTTTTTCATGCGTTGTTTTTGTTTAACAAAGATAGATGAATTGCACACGGTATTTTTTGTATTTTATATTCAACGCAAACATTTTACCTTATCTGCATTTGAAATGTTACCTCTTCTAACAAATGTACTAAAATCGTTTTTTTAAAGAACGATACACGCTACCTAAAAGCAAAAAGTTTAACAAATCTGTAACTTTATAAGAAAAATTTATTGCCACTATAGAACAAATAATTAAAAAAATACCTTAAATCACATTATACTTCACCCACATCGAAAACATAACAAATTGTTTAATTTTTTTAATATAATTTTATTTCAGCTTTTTATATATAATTTCAAGTCTCGACTTCAACCCCCCTGTTAGTTTTCTTTTTCTAAAAAATGTTTGTTTTTCTAAATGATCTACTAAGTTGAATCTTTTTGTGCTTTGATTTGCTTATTTTTATTGGACATTTCTTTTGGCTTTTGTTTTGACACTACTGTTGCGATAGCGCTCAAGGCCTATCGCGTGTTATTAGTTTGATACGTGTTCTTTTTTGTGTAACGCCTTTTTACAGTATAACATACTAATATAAACCGATCTTTCACTGTCATTTGGAAAGGCATAGTATTCCAAATGTATACTTGTTATCATAACTGCGTAGCAAAACTCACTGTACTTTCCTCTTCATTTTGTTTGATTTTCGTAAAAATGAAGGGAGGAGGGGTAAGGGCTCTGCTGGATTAAGGAGCCCCAAAATAGTTTTAAGAACTTTTTTTTTCAAGTCATTTTTACAGTCAATTTTTTCAAAATTATTTCTTCAAAAAAAAATGATTCTGCTGCCCCCCTCTCCCCGTTTCTACGGGCCTGCTTAATTTTTTTTATAATTTATGTTTATAATCAAATTATAATGCATTCCACATGAACGCGCTCTTTCAAATCGAATGTCATTATGCTAAGAATTTCGTAGTTAACTCTCAACACCACTTGTATTCTTGTATTTCTGTTTTTTGCAATATGTCTACCCTCGTAATCTTGCTTTTGTTTCTTCTCTGTAGCTTTAATTTTTCAGCTGCTTCATCCCCAATTATTATTCTGACTTTACTCGTTGATGAAACGTTGACATCAAAAAACATAAATTGGAAAAACAGGCTTGTGATTATACATTAGGATGAATGGAGAATAGTTTGTTGAAGAATGCCGACTAACGCAATGAACATAAAGAATATTCTAGATGATTTGCGGCCACAGTTTGGGATTATCTTCCAAAACCATTGTTAAAGAAATTTTTGTTGTTCGATAGAGTGATAATAGTAAAATATTATAATACTCAAAATTACTTAACCTAATATTCACAAGCTCAACACATATTTCTGCTGGAATTGTTCCAAAAACACGAATAAATCCTATATTCCAAAGTTCTTTGTCAGGGTGGACATTTGAGGGTGGACATTTGTCAGGGTGGACATTTATATTTATGTAACGTCTATTACTGACCATGTCCATTTATCAAAAGCAAGAGAAAATCTGTTTCCATTTGCAATGGAAACAGATTAGCAAAAGTTCAAAATACGGTAATAATATGTATAATGCATACTCTGATTAAAAAGAAAATATTTTACATACCATTTGAAATTTTAAATATAAATATTTTATGTTGACTATTATAGCGCGTAAAAGTAATCTATGTCATGTATGTATATTTATTCAGTTATCAATAGTTATCATTTACAAAGTTAATACTATCGCGCCTAATAAAAACAGTTCGTCGTAATTCACTTGCTTAAAATGCAAGTCCTATTTAATAAAAGAGATCTCAAAAAAGTGGGGCAGACATGGGCCCCACTTTTTTGACAACATTAGCAGTTATAGTTACGTCAGCTAAATTGCGTGCATAAATTGTACTATCTTAGTCAATATTTGGTGTCTTAATCTTTCATCTTAATTGATGGTGCGTTCACTATGGTAGTTAATGAGTTTTTAACTAATTAATTAGTTACGTCTTTCATCGTGTTTTAATATTTTTTTAGCAGCTTATTCAAAAGTGTGGCTCCTTGTTCTTTAGCTATTTTTAGATCCTCAAAAAGCTGGTGTGATTTGTAGTGTGATTTTGTATTGCTGTATAAGGTCAATATGCATGCGGCTCGTTTCAAGGGTATTCAAATTAAGACGTGTTAAACGATCCTCGTATTTTAGGTGGTTTATTGACTTAATCAATTTTGTAGTTCGATGCTAAACTTTTTTAATTGTACTTATATCTTCTATGTAATGAAGTAACCACACTGGGTTAATTCTAATGAAGGTCAAATATAAGCAGTATACAGGAAGCGTCAAAGAGTTAAAGCACTGCTTCTAAATTCTTTTTAAAACTTTACTCAGTTTCTAACTGCAGCTGCGTATTCAGCTTGTAACTTTAATTTAAGGTTATTGGATACTATAACCACTAAATAACACTCTTTAAGTGTGGTTTCAAGTTGTTTGAGTAGGTCATTTTGTGTTTGAGTAGGTCATTTTGTGACTTTGTACATAAATAATATGGTTTATTTGATGTTATTTTTGCCCACGTAACTTTCCATTTTTTAATGTTAAATAGTATGAGGCATTTTTTAGACCATTTAACAGCTGTGTTAAAATCTTATCGAAGACATAGCACAACTATAATAGACTTAATGTCACCGATGAGCTTGCTGTCATCTGCATACACCTATATATAACTCAAAATTAAGTCCGGTAGATCGCACAAAAAAGAGTGGTCCTGCAACTGAACCCTGAGGTACTCCGTTAAGTACATTTCTCTATGAAAATAGAGTATTATCTTTTTTGACACATTTTTTTCTATTGGTCAACCAATTTTTAATCCAGCTATGTATTTGACGCAAATGCCATAGGACTTCAACTTATATAAAAGTCTTTTGTGCGGTTCCTTGAACGCTTTTGAAAAGTCTTTATAAGCAACGCCTGCCGCAAAACTTTGATTAGTGGCATTTGTAATAATATTCCGTGGTTCCAACAAGTTTGTGCTTCATCCCATGTGTTTGACGAAGCCATGCTAAGCTGGTGTAATAAGGTTGTTTTTGATACATTGCTGTATAATACAATTATGATTTTAACCTTAAAAGCCAGAATACAAAGTTGTGTTCTGGCTTTCAACTCGTTAATTTTCGTTTGATTTAGTGAGTATGGATTATTTACCGAAAAAATGAGGTTACTGATAATTTTTACTAGATAGATTTTTAATTAATTGGGCAAATGAGATATTATAGAAAAACGTTTAATTAAATAATTAGTTGAGCGTTTCCTTGAAGGCTTGAGGCTTGACGGTTGCTCAGGTTAGGATAGTTAAGGCTGATTCAGCGTTTATTTTTTCTGGGGGTAATCTTTCAGCAACAATACTTGTTCTGGCTTGAGATTTTGAGGTATTGGTGGTTGCAAAATTTTTGATCTTGACAAAGACTAGTTTTTGGCAAGTAGCTGACTCTTGCAAGTTAAATTGCTTTACGCAGTTAAGGCGTCGATGGAAAACGAATTGAAATGCTGCTCTGTCTCCGTTCAATCTTCTCGAGCAAACGCATATTTTTACTCCAGTGTGATGAGACCCTGATGTTTGGCTTTCAACATAACCAGGGTGAGTGATTTAGAGTCTTTGACTGGGACACGCATGAGCTTGGTTTTTAGAAATTCTGTGCTCTGTTTTAGTATTGATACCTCACGATAAGTGAGGTATCAATACTAAAACAGAGCACTGAATATCAATACCAACTGCTCTAAATAAATTTCCGCTGCCTGTTTATTTTCGTCCTATTTCTCTGATGCTGTGCTCTGTTTTAATACTAAAACAGAGCACAGTATTAATACCAACTGCTCTAAATAAATTTCCGCTGCCTGTTTATTTGCGCCATATTTTTCTGAGTCCTTTCACTATTTCATTTGATTTTTTTAGCTGTCTTTGTTTCTGCTCATGTGCTACTTTATTTAGAAATAAATTCTATCATTTTTACTTCCATTAGATTTGCTGCTAAAGAGAGATAAGAATGATACCGGATATATATATATATATATATATATATATATATATATATATATATATATATATTATATACATATATATATATATATATATATATATATATATATA